TGAGGCAAGAGAATCGCCTAAGCCCAAGAGTTGGGAGGTTGCTGTGAGCTATGATGCTACTGGCACTCTACCGAGGGCAACAAAGTGAGACTCTTGTCTCTAAATGTATTCATTCCATCCTGACAGCCCTAAGTCTTAGCTCATTCCAGTACCAACTAAATCAGATATGGATGAGACTCAAGGCACAATTCTCCCTATGCCACCAGCTGTGGGCCTGAAATCACAACAGGTTGTCTACTTCCAAATACAATGGTGAGATAGGCATAGGATAAACATTCCCATTCCAAAAGGGAGACATAGGTAAGAAGAAAGGAGTAACTGGTCCCAAGTAAGTCCAAAGTCCAACAGGGAAAACAACATTACATTTTAGGGCTGGAGAATAATCTCCTTTGACTCTTATCTCCCACCTTCTGGGCATGCTGGGAGGGGGGTTGGGTCCCCCAGGCCTCAGGCAGCCCCACCCCTGTCATTTTGCTGGGCTTAGTTGGGTGCTTTAGTGCCCTGCAGTTGGAGTCTCAGGATTGCAGCTCTCCTAGGCAGGTGTTATACAGTGACAGCTCTACAGTTCCGGGTCTTTGGGGTGGCCCTCCTTCCACAGCTCCACTGTTTATTGCCCTAGTGAGAACCTTGCAATGCTCTGCTCCTGTGGGGGGTTTCTGCCTGGGCCCCCAGGCTGTCCAGTGGGATGGTGCCCACCACACAGAGGGCAGATCTTCCCCACATAGTCCTCAGCAGTCTCCGCTGGAAACACCTGCACAGACACTCAAAATAATGCCTTACCATCTCCAGGTCTTCCTGACTCCAGTTAAAGTCACATCTAAAGTTAGCCGTGTCACTCCACTTCCCCAGTGCTGCCCTTCCCTCACCCTCTTGGTCATTGCCCCTCCATTTCCGTGGTTTCAGTGTGGGCACCTTCCCCCTGCCAGCTGCCTGTTTCTGGATCTCCCAGCTTTAGTGCCTTCTGGTCCCCATTGCCCACCATGGGTCCACGCTGAGTGCCCTTGCATGTTTCCTCTCAGAAGTCCTGTTGGCGACAGTGCCAACCCGAACCTGCTGTGCGCCTCCAGTGCGCCCTCCACGCGCAGCCTGCCCGCCTTTCAGAACCAGAGCTCAACAGCTCGCTCCCTAAGCCCATTCAGGGGCTTGAGTTGCGTCAGATAAAGACCCTGATGCCTCACAAGGTCCTTAAGGGCCCACATCATCCACCAATCCCGGCAGAGCTGGGAAGGCAGCAGTGGGTGGAGGCAGGTTCAGCCGCAGTGCGGGCCACTGGGCTGGGGGCTGGGGGTGCCGGTGTTGGAGGGGAGCAGCAGCCCACCCACACAGCTTGGGCTTTGAGCGAAGTTGCTCTGAAGCGTGCCATTATACTCTCCATCGGTCTTTTCTCTGTACTGAGCCCTTCTCCATCTTGCAATCATTCCAGCTTCCAAGCAGTTTCATAACGAGGTCCTGAAGGCCCACAATGAGTACCGACAGCAGCACGGTGTCCCCCCTCTGAAGCTCTGCAAGAAGCTCAGCCAGGAAGCCCAACAGTGAGTCCTCCCAGCACACCTGGTGACACGGGCCCTTCCCAGTGCTGCTGCTGCACTCACTCTGAGAGGAGTCCTGGGTGGTTGGAGGGACTCGGGTTTGGGGGTCAGTTATAGCCAACCATGAATAACCACTCTGCTGCTCATCTAGGCAGGTCCCTTTGTTCCTCTGAGCCTCGCTTTGCTCCTCTGTAAAGGGGCTGTTGGGAGGCTCAGAAGCATGTAGCTACAGTGTGCCTGTTTTCTTCTGCAAGCCCCGTGGGGGGAAGGAAGCTCAGCCACACTGGCTTGGGGGTTATACTTGGGGGGTTCCCTGGGCTGCACCCATCCTGAGGAAGCTGTGTGGACCCTGGCAGGTATTCCGAGGCCCTGGCCAGCACGAGGATCCTCAAGCACAGCCCTGAGTCCAGCAGAGGCCAGTGTGGGGAGAACCTGGCATGGGCATCCTACGATCAGACAGGTGGGTGTTTCTCTCAGCTCCCTCCCCTCTGCTGGAGCTGGACCTAGACTGGGCTTCCCCAAGCCCCTCCCAGCCCCAGTGCCCTCCTTAGTTTAGCTGTGGGGTAGAACAAATTCCAGAAAGGGAAAGGAAACTCAGAGCTCTCTGAGTCTGCTCTCTGGCTGACTTTAGTTCACCACAAGGTCTCTGATGGCTGGCTCAGGGCCAGGCCTGTGCCGGGTGCCAGGGACACAGAGATGAATCAGACAGACCGGCCCTATAGAGCTCCCAGGCTGAGGAGTAGGGGTGGGAGAGACAGACTGAGTAGGTCCAAAGTTGTAGCCTGATTCTGTGGACACCAAAGCATCTCCAGCTACTAAGAAAATTTACTTTCCTTACATTTTTCTAATTTTTTTAAAGTGTTAATGTATTACTTTTTAGCTAGAAAAAAGCAGAAGAGACTTTTCCATTTGAGGAAAAAAACATAATGGGAAAGAAAATTCCTCCATCCAAGGTCTCAGTCTGGAATGACCTCACCGCACTGACCCAACATTCTTGGGCTTCCTGGCTGTAATAGCCCTGAAGTGGCTTTTTAGGAAGAACCCTGGGAAGAGCTATCTAGATCTCTGACAGTTTCTCCAAACCCCAGCGGGAGAATGACTCACTCCCTCCCTGACCTCACTGTCCCCAGGAATTCACAGGGAAAGCCCTGAGTCCTCTCAGAGCTTCCCTGGCACAGTTGAGCCAGGGCTTCCTTGCAGCGTGGCCCCTGGTGCCCCTCTGAAAGAGTGGTGGGCATGTTCCTGAGGAAGGTAGCAGCTCCCCTTCCCAGACCCAGGTGGTAGCCCTGGATGAGCCCCAGGAGAAGGGCAAGGGGTGAGAAAGAGGAGAGTTGGGGAGCGTGGTCCACCCTGGCCTTGTACTGGCTCAATGAGGAGCCTTAAGCAAGTAACTTCCCTCTTTGGTGTCTACAGAGGGGACTGGGGAGATGATTGCTAAGACAGTGCTTCCCTACTTTGACTGCACATTGCAATCTTTTGTGGAGCTTTGAAGAAAAACCAGTGCCTGGCCAGGTCTGTCCTCCAGAGATGCTGACACAGTTGGTTTGAGGAAGGACCTGGGCATTCCTGGTTTTTAAATGCTAAGGCTAATGTGTGTGAACCGTGTAGCAGGAGCAGCACCTGGGGACACAAGGGCACAATCACAGGGTCCTCCCTAGAGCTACTGAAATCAGAGTCAGTATTTTGACAAGATCCCCAGGTGATTCATGCACACATTAAATTTTGAGGCTTACTGCTCTGATGTTCAAGGCTCCCAGATCTGGCTCTGAGACCAGCAGCTTCCAGGGAACTGCTTTCTCATATCACCACCTGTGGGCCCATGGATGCTCCGGGTGAGAGCCCTCCTGCCTGCAGTAGAGACCTTTGGCTTGCCAACCCAACTGTCTTTTCTTCAGTGCCTACTGCAGGAGCCACAATTGGGGTGGGGTGAAGGCTAAGTCTCCCAGAAACTCTGAGCATCATTAGAAGACCTGTGAACTGGCTCAGCACCTGTGGCTCAAGTGGCTAAGGCACCAGCCACATACACCTAAGGTGGTGGGTTCAAATCTAGCCCGGGCCTGCCAAACAACAGTGACAGCTGCAACCAAAAAAAAAAAAAAAAACATAGCCAGGTGTTGTGGCAGGCGCCTGTGGTCCCAGCTACTTGGGAGGCGGAGGCAGGAGACTCGCTTGAGCCCAGAAGTTGGAGGTTGCTGTGAACTGTGATGCCATGGCACTCTACCCAGGGGGACAGCTTGAGGCTCTATCTCAAAAAAAAAAAAAGAAGAAGAAGAAGAAGACCTGTGAACTGGGTGAGGGGAAGAGCACAACTACAATAGGGACCTTACCTAGCAAAAACAATGTAACCTAATTGTAACCTCATGAAAGAAAAGTGGAAAGAAGAAAGGAGGGGAGGAAGGAAGGAAGGAAAGAAAGAAGGTGAGGAAGGAAGGAAAAGAAAAGAATGAAGAGGAAAGAAGGGAGAAAGGAAGGGAGGAAGGGAATGAAGGAAGAAAGAGGAAAGAAGGGAGAAAGGGAAGGAGAGGAGGGAGGCCGGCCCTTGAAGTACATTTTTGACCTTCTGGTTGTACAGAGGCCCAGAGAGGGGAAGGCCTAGCCTAAGACTACACAGCGAGTCAGTGGTGGGTGTTTGGGGGATACAGGTGGAGGTTCCCTGACCCAGCTCAGGGCTCTCCCAACCCCCAAGAGGCTCAGTCTTCAGCCTGGACATGCTAGGAGTCTACAAGGAGCATCCAAGATGTTTCAGTCCTAAGTGCTTTATCAGACACCTCCTGCAGGATGGGTGGTTTGGGGTTGATGGGAGAAGATGCAGGGAATAGGGAGTGGGTGAACTTTGCTGCTGAGTTTTAGAAAAATGTCATTTCCATACAGGAAAGGAGGTGGCTGATAGATGGTACAGCGAGATCAAGAACTACAACTTCCAGCAGCCTGGCTTCACCTCGGGGACTGGTGAGTGACAGAGTCTCACCAGCGACCAGCCCTGGGAAGTTCTATATCTTCCATATTTTTCTAGATTAAACTTGCCCAGAAGGCAAAGCTCTCCTTTCCCCAGTACCTCCCCAGCACTCCTAAGCCCCCCTCCATCTGAGAGCCCAGTAGGACTGAGTCCTGCCTGCCAGCTCAAGGCTCTGCACTTAGAGGTGTGTTATAGGAGACTGGGTTTTAAAAGCCACTTGGGGTTTCACTCCTGCATCGTGCCTCAGCACCTTTAGCTGGTCGCCCTGTTGCTAGTCTTGCTCCCTCCAACCCATCCTTTCAGCAGCCAGAATACTTCTATCCCCTGTGCTGTGGTGCTCTCCTGATTAAACTGCTGTGGCTCCCTGAAGCCGTCAGGAAAGGGCCTCCCTCTGTACCCCTCACCCTTCCCCTGATGCTTCCTACCCTCAGCCTCCCCGCATTCTTCCTTCCCCTTTTCACCATAGTTTGTGGTTCAGGTGAGCTTGAGATGCAAAAAAAACTAAATCTAGGCTTAGCTCTGGGAATATTTGCTGTGTGAGCTTAGGTCAGTTCTTGTCCTTCCCTGTCTCCAAGGGAGAGGGACAAAATGGTGGCCTCTCAGGGACATTTTGAGAATTGGTGGTTCAGTGCAGAGAGGAGCCTTCCATGGGGCCCAAGCTTTTCTCTCTGCCTCCTCCATGTCAAGGGGGAACTCCTTAGCTGACTTGGTGCCCCAAGCAGCCACTCGGTGCCCTAGGGCTCCTCTTGCCCCTGTGCTATCCTCACCCACCCCTTGTCTTTCCTCAGAACTGACTCAGACTTCAACTGGGGCCCAGGACAGCATCAGAAGGGGGTGTGAGTTTCTCTGAGCAGAAGGCCCTAGAGAAACTGAGAAAGGGGTTCTGTGCCACCACACTCCTCCACCCCATCCCTGCCCCACCCACAGGTAGAGCCACTTGTGGCTTCCACCTTCTGAAGGACTGCTTCAGAAGCAGGAAGTGACACGTTCTCAGAGCCAGTCACCATTTCCTGTCGATTGCTGCCTGCCCTTTTTGGGCAGGGATCCTTGTAGCTGTGTGTATAGGGCTCCAGGCACAGGGAGAAGCATCTGCTGAGGCAGTTTCCTCTCAGTGACCTGCTGCAGGACTCCAGGCCTGGGAGCAGGAGGCTGCTCTCCGCGAGGACTGCTGATGCTGGGCAGTGGTGCTCGGGGCAGGGAGCGGTAACAACCTCCCACCAGTGAGTAAGGATGTGTAGCAGAGCCTTGCTTTCTTTTGATAAATATCAGCGTCCAGAAGATGTTTTATTTCATAGCTTCTGGATTTGCCTTAGCCATGAGCAAGATTCTTGAGCAATCAGATATGTGTCAGAGTGAGTTGTCAGCGCTGCCCCTGTGTGTGCACACCAGTCCATGTCTGTGAGGTGCCACCATACCCACTGCTGCGCAAGCCTCACAACACCATTTCAAAGTAGAGCTTTGTTCTACCCATTTTGTAGAGAAGGAAACTGAGGCCTGCAAAAGAAAAGGGCTTTTTCTCATGCTTTCTGTCCCTAATCTGATGCTTTTTCTGTGGCCCCTGCTCCAAGGTGGGAATCTCAAAAAAGTCAGTTACCACAAATGGGGCTCAACTTTTCCTGATTGCTGACCGCCTGTTTCACCCATCGCCTCTAAGGAGGAAAACCCTAGGGGCAGCTAGCCCTGAGCTCATGGGCAATGCCTTTGACAGGCTGACCCTAAGACCAGAGTAGAGCTTTGCATGGTTTCATAATTGAGACTTTCATGACCCTGAAAGATCTTCAGGCCCACTCTGTCTTAGCCTCCCCCAGGCCCTGTCCTCAGCTTCTTCTTGCTGCAGTTTTTCAGGGGTCCCCTGACCTGCGTCCGCATTGCAGGGGAAAGGGCCTTTGAAATATCCTGTAATCTATCCCTACCCTGGGCCTGCATCTTTTTTCTTTTTCTTTCTTTTTTTGAGACAGTTTCACTCTGCTGCCCAGGCTAGAGTGCCATGGTGTCAGCCTAGCTCACAGCAACCTCAGACTCCTGCGTTCAAGCGAGTCTCTTGCCTCAGCCTCCCGAGTAGCTGGAATTACAGGCGCCTGCCACAATGCTGGGCTAATTTTTCTATTTTTAGTAGAGACAGTCTTGCTCAGTGTACTCCTAAGCTCAAGAGATCCTTCCATCTTGGCCTCCCATAGTGCTAGGATTATAGGCATGAGCCACCACACCTGGCCCTTAATATTTCTATTTTTAGTAGAGACAGAGGCAAACTCTTGCTCAGTGAACTCCGAAGTTCAAGCGATCCTCCCACCTTGGCCTCCCATTGTGTTAGGATTACAGGCGTGAGCCACCGTGGGCCAGCATCTTCTGATGGATATCACTGCTCTCTCCTGCTGTGTGCTGAGTGGAGAGAAATGATTCCTTAATTACTTTGACATATTTTGTTTAAATGGGTAGGTTTGTTTACTTATTCTGAATGAATAGTAGTTTTACATGATATGAAAACTGAACACTTGATAAGGGG